TATTCCCATATTAAGGGCACTGGAATTTGGTCAACATAGCCTCATTGCATTTATGTAATAAGATGTTTCTCTTTTTACGGTGCTGCATCTGGGAAGTTCCTGCTAACTGCAAGGTTGAACGCTGTGAAAACCATCCACTACATGGTTATCAGCCTCCTCCCAGTAGATGTAAATCAAGGAAAAGTTTCATGAGAACCACCACTCCTCTTAATGTTCCTCCAGCAACAGCAAGACGATCCCTCTTGAGCGGCTAAACCAGGAAATCTCAACTAGATGGTCCCCCATGAGGGTCTTCCTCCAGGGGCAAACCAAGAATGGGCAACATGGAAGTCCTTGTGCGCCAACTGCGACCGTACCTTGGGAAGTCCGACTTAGCCACGGTAGTCCACGCTCTGGTTACATCCCGCCTTGATTACTGCAACGCTCTCTACGTGGGGTTGCCTTTGAAGACAGTCCGGAAGCTCCAACTAGTCCAACGGGCGGCAGCCATGGTACTAACAGGAGCGGGGCGCAGGGAGCACACAACTCCTCTGCTGCACCAGCTCCACTGGCTGCCGATATGCTACCGGGCTCAATTCAAAGTGCTGGTTTTGCCTTTAAAGCCCTAAACGGTTCTGGCCCAACTTATCTATCCGAACGTATCTCAGCCTATCAGCCCACCAGGACCCTAAGATCTTCTGGAGAGTCCCTGCTCTCTATCCCACCGGCTTCCCAAGTGCGGCTGGCGGGAACGAGAGACAGGGCCTTCTCTGTGGTGGCCCCTCGGCTTTGGAACACCCTCCCTATAGAGATACGATCAGCCTCTTCGCTGATGGTCTTTCGGAAGAGATTAAAAACATGGTTGTGTAAACAAGCATTCAATTAGTTTGTTACTATTGAATTTATAGACTAAGGACTGGTTAATTATGGATGACGAACTCTGGACTGTGATTTTTGTGACGAGAAGCATGGTATTATTATTGGTGGCCCAATAATTTGTATTGTTTACGTGTTGTTGTTTTAAATTGTACATTGCTTTTAATTGCTGTAAACTGCAATGAGTCGCCGATTTAGGCTGAGATATTAGCGGTATACAAGTGTATTAAATAATAAATAAATAAATAAATAAGTCCCTGAACAGATTCAGAAGCAGAGTGGGAAGATTGGGTTATAGGGTGGCAACCTGTGCTTGATGGGGTTGCACTCCCCCTGAAGTTACAGGTCCGCAGCTTGGGTGTCCTCCTAGACCAGTGGTTCTCAACCTGTGGGTCCCCAGGTGTTTTGGCCTACAAATCCCAGAAATCCCAGCTAGTTTACCAGCTGTTAGGATTTCTGGGAGTTGAAGGCCAAAACATCTGGGGACCCACAGGTTGAGAACCACTGTCCTAGACTCATCGCTAACGCTTGAAGCCCAGGCATCGGCGGTGGCTGGGAGGGCCTTTGCACAATTAAAACTTGTGTGCCAGTCAGATCTGGCCAGGGTGGTCCACGCCTTAGTCACCTCCAGATTGGATTACTGTAATGCACTCTACGTGGGGCTGCCCTTGAAGACAGCTTGAAAATTTCAGTTGGTACAACGGATGGCAGCCAGGTTACTAACTGGAGCGACTTATGGTTAGTGGTCAACCTCCCTGTTTAAGGAGCTCCATTGGCTGCCGTTCAGTTTCCTGTCCCAATTCAAGGTGCTGGTTCTTACCTACAAAGCCCTGAACGGTTTGGGACCCGCCTATCTGCGTGACTCCATTTCTGTGTATGAACCCACGCGATCTCTTCGATCATCTAGAGAGGCCCTGCTCTCGCTCCCGCCCCCTTCGCAGGCATGATTGGTGGGGATGAGGGAGAGGGCCTTCTCTGTGGTGGCTCCCCGTCTCTGGAACTCACTCCCCAAGGATATCAGACAAGCCTCCATATTGGTAGTGTTTAGGTTGTTGTTGTTGTTCATTCGTTCAGTCGTCTCCGACTCTTCGTGACCTCATGGACCAGCCCACGCCAGAGCTCCCTGTTGGCCGTCACCACCCCCAGCTCCTTCAAGGTCATTCCAGTCACTTCAAGGATGCCATCCATCCATCTTGCCCTTGGTCGGCCCCTCTTCCTTTTGCCTTCCACTTTCCCCAGCATAATTGTCTTCATAAGTGTTTAGGAGGAGCCTGAAAACGTGGCTATTCCAGACTGCCTTCCCTGAATAAGGAAACAATGCCATGCTCTGAATAATTCTCTGCAATCGTCCTCAGAAGCACTTTACTATCCGTTGGGTTGGTCTCCCTACATTATCTTTTAAAACCCTCCTGCTTAGATACACCCTACCTCTGTTCACGCCCAGTGTTTATTTTAAAATTTTAATTTATTACATCTGGCCCGGCCATAAGGTTTTAAATTCTCTGTGTTATTGTTTATATGTAAATTATATTAATTGTACTGTTTTATTTGCTTGCTGTTTTGTTTTTACTGATGTGTTGTTGGGCTTGGCCTCATGTAAGCCGCTTCGAGTCCCCTTGGGGAGATGGTGGTGGGGTATAAATAAAGTTTTATTATTATATTATTATCAAAAGACAATCTGGAAAAATAGCATTAACTGGAACAGGCCTGGGTAAACTTTCTCACTTGGTGGCCACAAGCTAGCACTCCCTGCTAGGAGAACTGGCTGCCCGGTGATGGAAGGATGGAATGGAAAGAGGGAGGGAAGAAAGGGAGGGAGGTAAGGAGGAAGGACAGAGAGAAGGAAGGAAAGAAAGGGGGAGGAAAGGAAAAAGGTAGGAAAGGAAGGAAGAGTGAAAGGATTGAAGGGAAGGAGGAAGGAAGGGAGGAAGAATAGGATGGAAGGAGGGAAGAAAGGGAAGGAGGAAGGAAAATAAAAGGGAGGGAGGAAGAGAAGGATGGATGGAAGGAAGGAATGGAAGGAGGAAGGAAAGAGAAGGAAGAGGACAAAAGTGGAAGGGAATTGAGAAAGGGAGAAGAAAGAGGAAGGGAGGAAAGAGAAGGAAGGAAAGGAAAAAAGAGAGGGAAGGAAGGACGAAAAGGTGGAAGGGACGAGAAAGGGAGAAAAGAAAGGGAGGGGAAAAAAAGGAAGGATGGACGAAACAGTGGAAGGGAATTGAGAAAGGGAGAAAGAGGGAAGGAAGGGAGGAAAGAGGAGGAAGGAAAGACAAAAGACAGGGAAGGAAGGACGAAAAGGTGGAAGGGAAGGGAGAAAGGGAGAAAAGAAAGGGAGGGAGGGAGGAAAAAGAAGGAAGGATGGACGAAAGAGTGGAAGGGAATTGAGAAAGGGAGAAAGAGGGAAGGGAGGGAGGAAAGAGAAGGAAGGAAAGACAAAAGACAGGGAAGGAAGGAAGGGAGACTTGAGAAAGGGAGAAAAGAAAGGGAGGGAGGGAGGAAAAAGAAGGAAGGATGGACGAAAGAGTGGAAGGGAATTGAGAAAGGGAGAAAAGAAAGGGAGGGACGAAAAAGAAGGAAGGATGGACGAAAGAGTGGAAGGGAATTGAGAAAGGGAGAAAGAGGGAAGGGAGGGAGGAAAGAGAAGGAAGGAAAGACAAAAGACAGGGAAGGAAGGACGAAAAGGTGGAAGGGACTGAGAAAGGGAGAAAAGAAAGGGAGGGAGGGAGGAAAAAGAAGGAAGGATGGACGAAAGAGTGGAAGGGAATTGAGAAAGGGAGAAAGAGGGAAGGGAGGAAAGAGAAGGAAGGAAAGACAAAAGACAGGGAAGGAAGGACGAAAAGGTGGAAGGGAAGGAGAAAGGGAGAAAGAAGGGAGAAAAGAAAGGGAGGGAGGGAGGAAAAAGAAGGAAGGATGGACGAAAGAGTGGAAGGGAATTGAGAAAGGGAGAAAGAGGGAAGGGAGGGAGGAAAGAGAAGGAAGGAAAGACAAAAGACAGGGAAGAAAGGAGGAAAAGGTGGAAGGGACTGGAGAAAAAGAGAAAAGAAAGGGAGGGAGGGAGGAAAAAGAAGGAAGGATGGACAAAAGAGTGGAAGGGAATTGAGAAAGGGAGAAAAGAAAGGGAGGGACGAAAAAGAAGGAAGGATGGACGAAAGAGTGGAAGGGAATTGAGAAAGGGAGAAAGAGGGAAGGGAGGGAGGAAAGAGAAGGAAGGAAAGACAAAAGACAGGGAAGGAAGACGAAAAGGTGGAAGGGACTTGAGAAAGGGAGAAAAGAAAGGGAGGGAGGGAGGAAAAAGAAGGAAGGATGGACGAAAGAGTGGAAGGGAATTGAGAAAGGGAGAAAGAGGGAAGGGAGGGAGGAAAGAGAAGGAAGGAAAGACAAAAGACAGGGAAGAAAGGAGGAAAAGGTGGAAGGGACTGGAGAAAAAGAGAAAAGAAAGGGAGGGAGGGAGGAAAAAGAAGGAAGGATGGACAAAAGAGTGGAAGGGAGAAGAAAAGGGGAGAAAAGAAAGGGAGGGAGGGAGGGAGGGAAAAGAAGGAAGGATGGACGAAAGAGTGGAAGGGAATTGAGAAAGGGAGAAAGAGGGAAGGGAGGAAAGAGAAGGAAGGAAAGACAAAATACAGGGAAGGAAGGAGGTAAGGATGGAAGGGAGTAAGGGAAGGGAGGGAGGAAAGAGAAGGAAGGAAAGACAAAAGGAAGGAAGGAGAAAAACAGATAGAGGAAAGGAGGGCGAAAGGAAGGACAAAAGGGTGGAAGGGAAAGAAGGGGGAAGGAGAAAGAAGGAGAGAGGAGAGCCTGAAAAAGGAGCCCAAGGGGCCGCATCTGGCCCCCAGGCCTGGGTTTGCCCATTTCTGACCTAGAAGAATCCTCCACAAGCAACTCCGTATCTGCATGCTTGCTCACCATGCCCTGCCTCATGAACACAGGAGGAATTCTTTAAAGCTACAGACAATGCGGTCGCTGTTGCCCGTTTTTGGTCTAAAATTATGTAGTCCCTTGTGCTTCCTCTATTCTGTCAGTTTTATACTTGTTTATTTATGCAATGCTTTTGACACAAAATAATAATAATCTGGAACGATTTGCAGAATGCACAATCTCGGTTCATAGATAGGTACAGCAGTACTAAAAGGTATAGGCAGATCTCATACCTGGGTTAAAGCATTGATTTCTATGTCAATGTTTGTCAGGCATTTGTCCAACATTTCCTTCAGTCGGTTGACACAGTCAATCCTTTCATTGAGGCGTGTGCGGTTGTCGTGCTCATCCCATATTGTCTGGAGAGGTAAGACAGGCAAGCAGTTAGAATAATATTCGAAAAGGCCTCCAGTTCCTACTCAGAGAAGAAAGTATATCATATTCTCAAAGTTCAGCTTGCCTCTCTTGACATGTTTTATCCTACATGCAGACAGTTAATATACACATGCCAGCAAGTGACAATAATAATAATAATAATAATAATAATAGCAAGTTCAAGGTGGTCCCAGTGGTGATCGGCACACTGGGTGCAGTGCCTAAAGACCTTGGCCTGCACTTAAACACAATTGGCGCGGACAAAATTACCATCTGCCAGCTGCAAAAGGCCACCTTACTGGGATCTGCACGCATTATTCACTGATACATCACACAGTCCTAGACACTTGGGAAGTGTCCGACGTGTGATCCAATTCAACAGCCAACAGAGTGTCTGCTGTGGACTCATCTTGTGTTTCAAATAATAATAATAATAATAATAATAATAATAATAATAATAATAATAATATATTTATTTGACCAGTCATATGACCATTTCAAAATAGAACAGGAGTAAAAAAAAACAAGGCAAAAAGGTGAGGACAGCAGCTGACCTATTTACAGCCAGAGTCTTATTTCAGGAAATCTGCTCTTTTCTTGATAGCTTTCATGCCAGAAAGTGACATAAATCAGACATTACAAATAGTAAAGGTAAAGGTTTGCCCTTCACATTAGGTTTAGTCGTGTCCGTCTCTGGCGGGTGGCACTCATCGCCATTTCTAAACCAAAAAGCTGGCGTTGTCCATAGACACCTCCAAGGTCATGTGGCTAGCATGACTGCATGGAGCGCCATTACCTCCCTGCAGAAGCAGTTCCTATTGACAATACATTGGTATCTATTGAACTACTGACATTTGCATGTTTTGGAATTGCTACATTGGCAGAAGCTGGGGCTAACAGAGGGAGCTCACTCCGCTCCCCAGATTTGAGCTGCCAGTTTTACAGTCAGCAAGTTCAGCAGCTCAGCGGTTTAGTCCATTGCACCACCCATGACATTAGGAATGGGAATACTCATAAACAAGTTGCCGAATACTTCCCGGGCATCCCATCTATTTGCCTTTCTGCTGAGTTTCTGGGATCATTCCAATCCTATTGTCCCACCTAGGAGTAACGAAAGATTGTCAGAGATTGATGATACCCAGCGGAAGGAATGCTAGATCAAGCAGACACTGAGTTGCAAAATAAGGACTCTGCAGGCTTTGAGTTACAAAAGAAACTAAGTTTACTAAGTACGTACATCAGACACGTCTTTCTACAGCGAGCTACAATTTAGGACTAGTCAAAACCGAAAGCCTCTTCACATCTGCTTATCTTCTCTTGCTGAGACTGGCAACTCCCTTCTGTTCTCAGCAAGAGCAACCCTTACCTTACTTTTTCAAGTTCACTTCATCACAGCCTCAAAGTATAAACATTCCTGCATGACATTTTCAATTCACAGTAGCATCCATCTCGGCAATACATAGAAGCACATGTATTGAAAAACACATATATAACTAAATTAATCCTGACAAAGAGCTGATATTTCAGTCCTAACCAACACACATTGATGCTGACACAAGGTAGAAGGGCTGGAATGCGCCACTCACCTGGTTGTTCGTTTCATTACGAAGAGCCCGGGCCTCTTGTCGGATCTGGTGAGAAGCAATGCGCTGGCGCTCAGCATTGCTCACAAGGAGCTCACGGTTCATGCGCCAGTCAGGGAATGTGAACCTCTGGCCTGGCTTCATGCTCAGAGTCGCCATGGCTGCTTCCTGCGAGGAGACAACGGAACTAGTGAGAGATGCAGGAGTGCAAGAATTCTTATGACTGCAAAGGATGGAGCTTTTAAGGATGGCCGTTATACTTCCATTTTATTACGTACTAACTTGAGTACCTGACGCCGCCCAGATTAATCGAAAAAGGCATTGTTTATTTTGGAATATTAGGTAATATAATTTAGTTAATTAGTAACACTATTTATTAGAAAAAAAACACATTTTGATTTCACTGTTTATAAATGCTCCCATTAGAAAATATATAAAGATGTGGGTGAACTACTATTTCCGGAGTTGTGGGTCACTCCTCCCCAAACCAGGCCTGTATTCACAGTTGGCCATGTTGGGTCTGTGTGCCAAGTGTGGTCCAGATCCGACGTTGGCTGGGTTCTGTGCTCTCTGGGTGCAGGTGAACTACAACTCACGCAATCAAGGTCAATTCCCACAAAGCCCTGAAGTATGTTCAGTTGGTCATTGGACTTCTCTGCGCCAAGTTTGGTCTCAGTCCATTGTTGGCATGGGTCACAGTTTCTTTGGATACAGGTTACTACAACTCCCGCAATCAAGGTCAATTCCTACAAAGCCCTGAAGTATGTTCAGTTGGTCATTGGACTTCTCTGTGCCAAGTTTGGTCACAGTCCATTGTTGGCGTGGGTCACAGTTTCTTTGGATACAGGTGAACTACAACTGCCGCAATCAAGGTCAGTTCCCACAAAGCCCTGCCAGTTGGTCATTGGACTTCTCTGTGCCAAGTTTGGTCTCAGACAGTCCATTGTTGGCGTGGGTCACAGTTTCTTTGGATACAGGTGAACTACAACTCCCGCAATCAAGGTCAGTTCCCACAAAGCCCTGAAGTATGTTCAGTTGGTCATTGGACTTCTCTGTGCCAAGTTTGGTCTCAGTCCATTGTTGGTGTGGGTCACAGTTTCTTTGGATACAGGTGAACTACAGCTCCCACAATCAAGGTCAACTCCCACAAAGCCCTGAAGTATGTTCAGTTGGTCATTGGACTTCTCTGTGCCAAGTTTGGTCTCAGACAGTCCATTGTTGGCGTGGGTCACAGTTTCTTTGGATACAGGTGAACTACAACTCCCGCAATCAAAGTCAACTCCCACAAAGCCCTGAAGTATGTTCAGTTGGTCATTGGACTTCTCTGTGCCAAGTTTGGTCTTAGTCCATTGTCAATGTGGGTCATAGTTTCTTTGGTTACAGGTGAACTACAACTCCCAGATTCCCAGGGCAATCACCCCCAAACTCCGCCTGTACTCACAGTTGGGCATGTTGGGTCTGTGTGCCAAGTGTGGTCCTGATCTGACGTCGGCTGGGTTTCAGTGCTCTCTGGGTGCAGGTGAACTACAACTCACGCAATCAAGGTCAATTCTCACAAATCCCTGAAGTATGTTTAGTTGGTCATTGGACTTCTCTGTGCAAAGTTTGGTCTCAGTCCATTGTCGATGTGGGTCATAGTTTCTTTGGTTACAGGTGAACTACAACTCCCAGATTCCTAGGGCAATCACCCCCAAACTCCGCCTGTACTCACAGTTGGGCATGTTGGGTCTGTGTGCCAAGTTTGGTCAAGATCTGTCATTGATGGGGTTTAGAGTGCTCTGGGTGTAGGGTGAACTACAACTCCCATGTGGGTGGGTCATTTACCTCCACCCCCACCTCTCCAATATGTTCTGTTGGTCATCGGGGTTCTGTGTGCCACGTGTGCTCCGCCACTGAGGGCTTCAGAATGCTCTCTGGGTGCAGAGTGAACTACAACTCCCACGTGAGTGGGTTAGTCCTCCCCCAAATTCATTCAATATGTTCAGTTGGTCACCAGGGTACTTTGTGCTATGTTTGGTCCAGATCTGTCATTGGTGGGGTTCAGAGTGCTCTGGAGGCAGGTTGAACTACTGATGAAGTCGAACATGACCCCCCTCCCCATAAAAGATAGTAACTTATAGTTTTGCTAAGGACAAGGACACCAGACTGGATAATAAGGGTTAAGACTTGGTCAATTTGCCAAGACACTAACAACAAGGACCCTTCCCATGTTAGACAGTGTGTACATTTAATCAAGGTTTTATGCCCTAGGTTTCATATATAGCAGAAGGTAACACATTTATTACTGAGAAATCACCTCCCTTTACACTTATGTGCTCTCTTGAACTTCTATGGGACTCTAGTGGGAGAGATAAGTGGGTATGTTTTCGATATCACGATTTCTATATTTCTCTATTTCTCTCTGTGTGCCTGACCATTTCCTGACCCTTTTGCCCAATTCCCCTTTATTGAAAAATGTATAAAAATATAAGAAGCCACTCCTGTGACCCTAGAAAGGAGGAAATCCTCAGTTGGAAAAGACTCTTATCAAAACACACTATTTGCATGGACAATAACAAAGGATCGTGACCTCTGGCCTCGGAGTTGGCCCCCCAGAGGAAGCAGTCACTTGGCATTTATGATCATATCTCAATAGGACAAAGGAAGCCTTCGGAAAGCCACACCTTGTCCTAATCTGTTACTGATTCAACTTTTATCCACTGAAACCACAGCCAAAATTCCCTCATTGTTCCTGTCTCTCAGCACTGGAAAAATCCAGATTATGGCAGGTTTGACAGCCATCAACGTCCATTGCAGCCACTCAAAGACAATAGCAAAGGCTGGCTTGCAGCCCCCCCCCCCCACTAGCCGCTTAGACATTTCCTACTTCCATGATCCTCTCAAGAATCCATTGTTTCCCTCTCGTTCCACTTCCCTCTCTCCTGATTCGTCAGGACGCTGAGGCGGCAGAAGCCCAGTGATTGGCCCATGCACTCAGGAGGAGGCCAAGCCTCCTCCCAGCTGAAAAGCGCCAGCCAATCATCGTTGAGCCAGCAGAGGGGCGGGGAATGGGAGATTCAAACCTGGAGGCTGTTTTATGTATAAAAAGGCCTTTATTTTTGTACACTGTATGCTTAGCTTGGCGAAATATTGCTGCTTTGCATCCTTTTCAGCTGAATCGCAATAAAATCATCTTGGTGGCGCTTCCTTCAAATTTGGTGAGATTTCTTTTGGAAACTTAGAAAAAACCTTTTAAATTGGGCTTCTCTTTGCTCACCATTGTAGCGAGCCCTCTTTGGTGGGTCCGCAGGGTCTCTCCTTCAGGGCCAGACCCTTTTAAATTCCTCCATGATTTCACTGAGAAGGCCCTGTCTCTCATTCCCGCCAGTCACATCTGCGAAGGAGGCAGGACCGAGAGCAGGGCCTTTCCAGATGATCTTAAAGACCTAGATGGTTCACAGAGAGAGATGCATTCGAACAGGTAAGCTGGGCCGGAACCGTTTAGGGCTTTACAGGCTAAAGCCAGTACTTTGAATTGTGCCCGGTAGCAAACTGGCAGCCAGTGGAGTTGGCGCAACAGAGGGGTTGTACACTCCCTGAGCGCCACTCCTGTTAATAACCTGGCTGCTGCCCGTTGGACCATTTGAAGCTTCCGAGCAGTCTTCAAGGGCAGCCCCACGTAGAGCGTGTTGCAGTAGTCTTAATACAGTTCCTCATGTTGTGGTGACCCCCAACCATAAAATTATTTTCGTTGCTACTTCATAACTGCTACCGTTATGAAATGTAATGTAAATATCTGACATGCAGGATGTATTTTCATTTGCTGGACCAAATTTCATAGAATCATAGAATCAAAGAGTTGGAAGAGACCTCATGGGCCATCCAGTCCAACCCCCTGCCAAGAAGCAGGAATATTGCATTCAAATCACCCCTGACAAATGGCCATCCAGCCTCTGCTTAAAAGCTTCCAAAGAAGGAGCCTTCACCACACTCCGGGGCAGAGAGTTCCACTGCTGAACGGCTCTCACAGTCAGGAAGTTCTTCCTCATGTTCAGATGGAATCTCCTCTCTTGTAGTTTGAAGCCATTGTTCCGCGTCCTAGTCTCTAAGGAAGTAGAAAACAAGCTTGCTCCCTCCTCCCTGTGGCTTCCTCTCACATATTTATACATGGCTATCATATCTCCTCTCAGCCTTCTCTTCTTCAGGCTAAACATGCCCAGTTCCCTAAGCCACTCCTCATAGGGCTTGTTCTCCAGACCCTTGATCATTTTAGTCACCCTCCTCTGGACACATTCCAGCTTGTCAATATCTCTCTTGAATTGTGGTGCCCAGAATTGGACACAATATTCCAGGTGTGGTCTAACCAAAGCAGAATAGAGGGGTAGCATGACTTCCCTAGATCTAGACACTATGCTCCTATTGATGCAGGCCAAAATCCCATTGGCTTTTTTTGCCGCCACATCACATGGTTGGCTCATGTTTAACTTGTTGTCCACGAGGACTCCAAGATCTTTTTCACACGTACTGCTCTCGAGCCAGGCATCCCCCATTCTGTATCTTTGCATTTTTTTTTCTGCCAAAGTGGAGTATCTTGCATTTGTCACTGTTGAACTTCATTTTGTTAGTTTTGGCCCATCTCTCTAATCTGTCAAGATCGTTTTGAATTCTGCTCCTGTCCTCTGGAGTATTGGCTATCCCTCCCAATTTGGTGTCGTCTGCAAACTTGATGATCATGCCTTCTAGCCCTTCATCTAAGTCGTTAATGAAGGGCTAGAAGGCATGATCACATAATATGCCTAAATTTGAATACTGGTGGGATTGGAGGAGGGGATTGAGTTTGTCATTTGAGAGTTGTAGTTGCTGGGATGTATACTTCAACTACAATCAAAGAGCATTCTGAACTCCACCAATTGAACCAAACTTAGCACACAGAACTCCCATGACCAACGGAAAATACTGGAAAGGTTTGGTGGGCATTGACCTTGAGTTTTGGAGTTGTAGTTCACCTACATCCAGAGAGCACTTCGGACTCTAACAATGATAGATCTGGACCAAACTTGGCACGAATATTCAATATGGCCAAATGTGAACACTGGTGGAGTTAGAGGAAAATGGACTTGACATTTGGGAGTTGGAGCCCCCGGTGGTGCAGTGGGTTAAACCCCTGTGCCGGCAGGACTGAAGACCAACAGGTCGCAGGTTCTAATCCGGGGAGAGGTGGATGAGCTCCCTCTATCAGCTCCAGCTCCTCATGCGGGGACATGAGAGAAGCCTCCCACAAGGATGATAAAAACATCAAATCATCCAGGCTTCCCTTGGGCAACGTCCTTGGAGACGGCCAATTCTCACACCAGGAGTCACTCCTGACATGACAAAAAATAAAAATTGGGAGTTGTAGTTGCTGGGATTCATAATTCACCTATAATCAAAGAGCATTCGGAACCCCACCAATGATAGAATTAGGCCAAACTTCCCACACAGAACCCCCCATGAACAGAAAATACTGTGTTTTCCGATGGTCTTTGGCAAGGCTTCTCACACCTCCTCGCAACCTCCCCCCCAGGGGTCCTGACCCACAAGTTGAGAAACACTGGTATGGATTAACTTGGGAGCTTTAAAAAGTGTAAATGTGTGTGTTTTAAATAAAACTATGGTTTAATTCTCTTTTAACATACATATTAATTAGGTTTTTAAAGAAATTGTACAGTGAGCCCTCTGTGTCCACAGATTCTGCCTCCATTTATTCGACTATCTAGAGTAGGGGTCCTCAAACTTTTTAAACAGAGGGTCAGGCCACAGTCCCTCAAACTGTTGGAAGGCCGGATTATAATTTGAAAAAAGCATGAATGAATTCTTATGCACACTGCACATACCTTATTTGTAGCTCAAAAAACACTTAAGAACAATACAATAAATAAAATGAAGAACAATTTTAACAAATATAAACCTATTAGTATTTCAATGGGAAGTGTGGGCCTGCTTTTGGCTGATGAGATGGGATTGTTGTTGTGTGCTTTCAAGTCATTTCTATGTCTGAAACGACTTGAAAGCACACAACAACAACAATCCTATCTCATCAGCCAAAAGCAGGCCCACACTACCTGAGGGACCGCTTCACCCCCTACCAACCCCAGAGATCCCTCCGTTCTGAGGACCAAGATTTGTTGGAAATTCCCAGTGTCAAGACCTTGCGTCTAATAGCAACCAGACGCAGAGCCTTTACAGTAGTGGCACCATCGCTCTGGAATACGCTGCCACCTGAAGTCCGTACCTTGCGGGACTTACCAGCTTTCCGCAGGGCATGTAAGACATATCTGTTTCGACAGGCCTTTGACTTTTAATATTGCTGTTTTTAAATTGTTTAAAATTGTTTTTAAATTGTGTTAGATTTTAGCCTGTTCTTGTAAGCCGCTCCGAGCCCCAGGGAAGTGGCGGCATATAAGTTCAAATAATAAATAATTAAATGAAATACTAATAGGTTGACCCTGAGCGAGGGCTGGGTAAATGACCTTGGAGGGCCGTATCCGGCCCGCGGGCCTTAGTTTGAGGACCCCTGATCTAGGGATTGAAAATATTTCAAAAAGCAAGACTTCATTTTGCCAACTGTGTAAGTGACATCCTTTTATCGTGCCTTTATATGTCGCGAAACCCGAGCATCCATGGGTTTTGATATCTATGTGGTTCCTGGACCCAAACCCAGCAGATGCCAAGGGCTTACTATACTTTGGTTGTGAGCTACCCTGAATTTTGTGCCTTCAGTGGATCAGGGCTGTACGTGTGAAAAAGATCTTGGAGTCCTCGTGGACAACAAGTTAAACATGAGCCAACAATGTGATGTGGCGGCAAAAAAAAAGCAAATGGGATTTTGGCCTGCATCAATTGGAGCATAGTGTCTAGATCTAAGGAAGTAATGCTACCCCTCTATTCTGCTCTGGTTAGACCACACCTGGAATATTGTGTCCAATTCTGGGCACCACAATTCAAGAGAGATATTGACAAGCTGGAATGTGTCCAGAGGAGGGCGACTAAAATGATCAAGGGTCTGGAGAACAAGCCCTATGAGGAGCGGCTTAAGGAGCTGGGCATGTTTAGCCTGAAGAAGAGAAGGCTGAGAGGAGATATGATAGCCATGTATAAATATGTGAGAGGAAGCCACAGGGAGGAGGGAGCAAGCTTATTTTCTGCTTCCCTGGAGACTAGTACGCGGAGCAATGGCTTCAAACTACAAGAGAGGAGATTCCATCTGAACATGAGGAAGAACTTCCTTACTGTGAGAGCCGTTCAGCAGTGGAACTCTCTGCCCCGGAGTGTGGTGGAGGCTCCTTCTTTGGAGGCTTTTAAACAGAGGCTGGATGGCCAACTGTCAGGGGTGATTTGAATGCAATATTCCTGCTTCTTGGCAGTGGGTTGGACTGGATGGCCCATGAGGTCTCTTCCAACTCTTTGATTCTATGATTCTAGGGCTGGTAATTTTTTGGACTGTCAGGTCTTTGCACTTCAGTTCTTGAGGCAGTGAATAAAAAGCGGATACATGGGAACCTCTAGACAACATTGGATCCTGGTATAGAAAAAGGAGGCTCCCTCATCCCATGGGCTGTAAGGCTCCATCAACTCACCAATTCTTTTCCGCAGCCAGTCCTCCTTTTTGGCTTCTCCTTCCTACAGCTGTTGACTGCTCTCTTAGCTTGTTTGCTAAGCAGTCTAGGTGCTGTTGCCCAACAACCACGCTCCCCAGAAGCTCTACTGAAAGAATCCTGCGGCAACTGTTTACAAGGAGGGAGGGAGGAAGCCATGGCAACATGGAGATGTCATAAAGGGGACAAAGAAAGATGCTAGTCACCTTGATCCCAGCAGGTTTACCTGTCCAACTCAGAGGTTGCAACTAAGAGTAGGGGAGCTGAGGGAGGTATCTCTCAGCAGGAGAGGCTGCTCATGTTTTAACCTTGGTTGCCTGCTCTTTTGTGAAAATTGCATTATAAATCACTCATAATTTCTAGGAAACCCAAGACACTGGGCGGGTCTACACTATAGAACTAATGCAGTTTGGGACTTTAACTGCCATGCTCAATACTATGGAATCAAGGGAGTTGTACTTTGGGGAGGCACCAGCACTCTTTGGCAGAGAAGGCTAAGATCCTGGTGAAATTGCAACTCCCTGGATTCCATAGCATTGAGCCATGGCACTTGAATTTTGAATATAGAAGCACAAAAAGATATAGCCACCCTCAGTAAGATTGCTAACCTAAAATGGCTGAGTCAATACAAACGTACCTTTCAAACTGCTAACTACCTAAAAATGCAAATACCAAAACATCTCAGGGAGGTATTCACTTGAGCCAGATTTGATCAGCTCGAGACAATGGTTAGATACAGGAGATTTAACAGCATCCCTTATAATGAACTAGCCATCCCCTGCCACGCGTTGCTGTGGCCCAGTCTGGTAATCTGGAAAATGAAGTAATGAGAAAGTGTTGGTTTCTAATCTATGTAATGTCTTGATGCTTGTGGGTAAACTATTTCTTTTTGCTTCTTTGTCAATGTTGATGTCTAGTTTGCCTACTCTGGAACATGCAACGTAGAATTGTCCTTCTTTAGGGGTCCCTTTCAAATCTATGATACTATATCTGTGTGTATATATCTATCTATTAGGCCTGGGCGGTTTCGATCGTTAATCTTGTATATCGTAAAGAATCGTTTTTTTTTCCATTTACGGAGCGATATCAAAATTTTTTTTCAAACCCGGAAGGGTTTAAAAATAACGATCCGGCATGCTCCATGATGTTTACGGGCTTACGCCCGTGTCGGTAATGGCCGGAGGATCGATTACGATCCAGATTTCAAACCCGGAAGGGTTTCCAAATGACGATCCGGCATCCTCCGTCCTTTCTACGAGCTTCCGCCCGTTTCGGAAATGGGACGGAGGATGGTTATGCCTGGGAGCCAATCCGGCGCTCCCAAGCACCCCTGCAAGGCAACCGTGGCTGATTTTGATTGGCCGGGAGGGCCTTTAAAAGCGGCTCCGCGTGGCCGCTTTGCTCATTGTTGCGGCGGCGAGGGAGAAGGGAGGTCGGGAGGGAGGCTTGTATTGGCTTGTATTGGCTTCTGGCTGCATTGGCTTCTGGCTGCATTGGCTTCTGGCTGCATTGGCTTCTGGCTGCATTGGCTTCTGCTGTGGCTGCTGGCATTGGCTTGCAGCAGTTTTTAATTTTTGAAAAATACCTTTTTTTATTCTTAAAAAAATAAGATTCTTTAAAAAAGAAAGTGAGCCTGTGTGTGTGTGAGCCTGTGTGTGTGTTTTTTCCCCCCTGTCTTGTGGCTGTTCTCTCCACAGCAGGGAGAGCAGAGCATTTTGTTAATTTTCCATTTCTGAATATTTTCTTAAAATACCTTTTTTTAAAAAAAAAATACAAAAAAAGGAAAGAGTCACCTGTTGGCGTGTGCTCTCTTTTGCCCTGTGTCCTGCCTGTGTTACGTCTACATCAGGGCCAGTTTTGGCTTGATTTTCCATTTCTGTACATTTTCTAAAAATACCTGTTTTTATTCTAAAAAAAAATACCAAAAATATTACAAAAAAAGGAAAGAGTCTCCTGTTGGCGTGTGCTCTCGTTTGCCCTGTGTCCTGCCTGTGTTACGTCTACATCAGGGCCAGTTTTGGCCTGATTTTCCATTTCTGAACATTTTCTAAAAATACCTGTTTATTCTTAAAAAAATATACTAAAAATATTCCAAAAAAAGGAAAGAGACTCCTGTTGGCGTGTGCTCTCGTTTGCCCTGTGTCCTGCCTGTGTTACGTCTACAGCAGGGCCAGTTTTGGCCTGATTTTCCATTTCTGAACATTTTCTAAAAATACCTGTTTTTATTCTAAAAAAAATACAAAAAATATTACAAAAAAAGGAAAGAGTCTCCTGTTGGCGTGTGCTCTCGTTTGCCCTGTGTCCTGCCTGTGTTACGTCTACATCAGGGCCAGTTTTGGCTTGATTTTCCATTTCTGTACATTTTCTAAAAATACCTGTTTTTATTCTTAAAAAAATACAAAAAATATTACAAAAAAAGGAAAGAGACTCACCTGTTGGCGTGTGCTCTCGTTTGCCCTGTGTCCTGCCTGTGTTACGTCTACATCAGGGCCAGTTTTGGCCTGATTTTCCATTTCTGAACATTTTCTAATAATACCTGTTGTTATTCTAAAAAAAATACAAAAAATATTACAAAAAAAGGAAAGAGTCTCCTGTTGGCGTGTGCTCTCGTTTGCCCTGTGTCCTGCCTGTGTTACGTCTACATCAGGGCCAGTTTTGGCCTGATTTTCCATTTCTGAACATTTTCTAAAAATACCTGTTGTTATTCTAAAAAAAATACAAAAAATATTACAAAAAAAGGAAAGAGTCTCCTGTTGGCGTGTGCTCTCGTTTGCCCTGTGTCCTGCCTGTGTTACGTCTACATCAGGGCCAGTTTTGGCCTGATTTTCCATTTCTGAACATTTTCTAAAAATACCTGTTTTTATTCTTAAAAAAATATACTAAAAATATTCCAAAAAAAGGAAAGAGACTCCTGTTGGCGTGTGCTCTCGTTTGCCCTGTGTCCTGCCTGTGTTACGTCTACATCAGGGCCAGTTTTGGCCTGATTTTCCATTTCTGAACATTTTCTAAAAATACCTGTTTTTATTCTAAAAAAAATACAAAAAATATTCCAAAAAAAGGAAAGAGACTCCTGTTGGCGTGTGCTCTCGTTTGCCCTGTGTCCTGCCTGTGTTACGTCTATATCAGGGCCAGTTTTGGCCTGATTTTCCATTTCTGAACATTTTCTAAAAATACCTGTTTTTATTCTTAAAAAAATATACTAAAAATATTCCAAAAAAAGGAAAGAGACTCCTGTTGGCGTGTGCTCTCGTTTGCCCTGTGTCCTGCCTGTGTTACGTCTACAGCAGGGCCAGTTTTGGCCTGATTTTCCATTTCTGAACATTTTCTAAAAATACCTGTTTTTATTCTAAAAAAAAATACCAAAAATATTACAAAAAAAGGAAAGAGTCTCCTGTTGGCGTGTGCTCTCGTTTGCCCTGTGTCCTGCCTGTGTTACGTCTACATCAGGGCCAGTTTTGGCCTGATTTTCCATTTCTGAACATTTTCTAAAAATACCTGTTTTTATTCTAAAAAAAATATACTAAAAATATTCCAAAAAAAGGAAAGAGACTCCTGTTGGCGTGTGCTCTCGTTTGCCCTGTGTCCTGCCTGTGTTACGTCTACATCAGGGCCAGTTTTGGCCTGATTTTCCATTTCTGAACATTTTCTAAAAATACCTGTTTTTATTCTTAAAAAAATATACTAAAAATATTCAAAAAAAGGAAAGAGACTCCTGTTGGCGTGTGCTCTCGTTTGCCCTGTGTCCTGCCTGTGTTACGTCTACATCAGGGCCAGTTTTGGCCTGATTTTCCATTTCTGAACATTTTCTAAAAATACCTGTTTTTATTCTAAAAAAAAAAACCAAAAATATTACAAAAAAAGGAAAGAGTCTCCTGTTGGCGTGTGCTCTCGTTTGCCCTGTGTCCTGCCTGTGTTACGTCTACATCAGGGCCAGTTTTGGCCTGATTTTCCATTTCTGAACATTTTCTAAAAATACCTGTTTTTATTCTTAAAAAAATATACTAAAAATATTACAAAAAAAGGAAAGAGTCTCCTGTTGGCGTGTGCTCTCGTTTGCCCTGTGTCCTGCCTGTGTTACGTCTACATCAGGGCCAGTTTTGGCCTGATTTTCCATTTCTGAACATTTTCTAAAAAAAAGGAAAGAGTCTTCTCTTTTGAATACAGTGCTCACTCATTCTTTTATTTACAACCATTGTGATGAAACGCTTCCTTCCCGGCTTTTCTAGTCGCAAGGGCCAAGTGCTATCGCAAAGACCAAAGAAAGGCAGGGGACTGCTGATGGACACATTGAGAAGAAGGGAACAATCAACCGAAGAGATGGTTATTGAAACACCCACAGGTGCTTCAACCAGCTGTGAGATGGCAGGACCTCCTCCTTATTCCTCAGTTCGAAAGACTCTACATTCAGATCCTGATGTCCTTCCAAGTACCTCTGATCCTACTTGTTATGAAGAGGAGGGCGAGGAGGCGGACGTGTCTGAGGAATGGGAGGAAGACAATATGGAATCTACTTCCACCACAGGACTTAGTGATGAAGAGGACTGCATGGTGCTGGAGGGCGAGCCACAGAAACAACTAACAATCCCTTCCACAATCACCGACAGTCCAACCACGAGCATGAGTACATCTCAACTGCCTCGTAGGGGTAGGCCGAGATCGCTCCTCTGGGATCATTACGACGTCCATAAGGAGAAGGCCACTTTGGCAGTTTGCAGGCATTGCGGTGTGAGCGTCAGCAGAGGAAAAGATATGAGGCATCTTGCCACAACAGGGCTAAGGATGCACATAAGGAGACACCACCCAACTGTGAAGTTGGACGCAGTTGAAGTCGCCAGCACATCCAGCACTACACTGAGCAGCACTCCAAACACACCAACAGGCCCCATGCAGAAAACCATCGATACTTGGGGCCTGCAAGTTACAAGGGTGAGATCTGGATTTAGGCCGCCATCAGTGAAGCAAATAACACGTCGCCTGGGAGAGATGATGGCTCTGGACCACCAGCCCTTCCGTATGGTGGAACGGGAAGGTTTCCGCCGATTTGTTCACCTCCTGGCACCATGGTACAAGATCCCAAGTCGCAGAACTTTCTCTCAAACAGTCATTCCC